ACCTCGTCCTGCCGGCAGTCTGACAACGGTTAGAGGGGGCGTATCTGTGTTCTAATACACGCGATCCTCTTCTTCCAGTGAGTGATGCGGGTTCCTCTGGTTTCCTCCCGTAGCGGCTGATGGACGACTGGAGGAACATCTGTGAGACCAGACAAGGTCCTGAGAGGATGTAGACTCTGTGTACAGCGGCGGATATTAAGAGCACGCCGGTATGCAAATGTCTGTCCAGATTAGAGCTACAACAATTATTCAAATGTTTGATTAATTATTCATCGGAGACGCAGTCAATTATTAATTTCAGCCAGCGATAAGTCCTCTTTTCCCCCTCTTCTCAGAGCAAGAAGTTTTCTTGTGGGACCTATCAGGGGCTCAATCCAAACCCCTTTATTTGTACAGTAAATGTGCAGGAATTGGTTTGGTGACTCACAATACACAAATATATGTGTGCACATACACACACACACACACACACTCAATCCCCTCACAACAATCAGCAGAACTGCTGACTTCTTTTCAGGGCTTCGCCCTCTATTTAAGCAGCTGATAAAGAATCGGGCCGTGTCGATGTGTTAAGATGATTCCTTTCATGGGGGGGGGGGCATGCAGCCAGTCCGGTGATAACTGTGAATGTCTAATGACATCTGTTTAATTGTGATTTACTACGGGGCAGGTTATGCATTCACATGTATTAAGAGGAGGTCGTCATCAAACATAATTTAGTGCATTCTCGCCTTTTGAAGTAGCAGCGGACTTACTTGTATTCATTTGAACATCCGCGGTATCATCTTCATCAGCGGAGCGCATTTATTATTCATTTAAAATGTTGATTTGTGCACCCAAACATTTGAGAACAAATACGAATGAAAAAGAATGAAATACACACACATAGCTGGTCCAACTTGAGACGTGCTGGTGGGACTAAACACAGTTTTTATTCCGTTGTCTTTCTGCAGGAAGACGTGACGCGTTCGTCTTGTTCTTGTAAGAGTCTCGGTCGAACAAGTGGTCATTTGTAGAAGCCTCCGCGCACATTTCAGCTAACAAGAACAACATCAAAAAATCAATACTTTTTGTCTGTGTGCTAGTTTCCTCGTTGGACCGACAGAGATCAGAAAAGAGGTTTTCTCTCTCTCTCTTGCTCTCTCTCTCTCGCTCGTGGCAAATGTGAACTAAATTCATTTTGCATGTTCGCGGAACGCACGCGGGAGCCTTCGCCTCTCGGCCTTTAATTGTCCGTGGGTCTCCGGAGCCGCCGTGGAGCCGCTGCCCGGGGAGAGGAGCCCGGTTTGATGTGATCTGGGACGCCACGGCTCCTCTGTCGTGCATTCACAACCTCTGAACGCCAGCGACGAGCGGCCTTCTAATTAAAAAGAGGCTCCGGCACAAACTGAGCACTTGAGAGGCCGAGCTGCTGCCTCTGGACAGATGTTTTCAATTGTAGAAGTGGATTTTGGGGGCACCCTCTTTCTTATTGTGACTGGGCTGAACACTAATTATTTGCCATCATTTCGTAACGTTTCTTTGTTGCTTTACATCAACAGGACCAGTCGACTCCCCTGCTGTCGGCAGATCTGAGTCACCTCTTACCTAACGTAAGAACGGCGTCCCGCCCAGCACGCGAGGACGGCGTGACGGGGGAGTAAAGCTGCTGAAGAGCTGCTAACCACCTGCAATTACCGAGCCGCTTCCTCCGGTGTCGCTGGAGACGTTGGCCTTCCCGTGCTCCGCCAGATTCCTTTTGAGTGGATTTTATTTTCCTGATAAGAAGCAAACGGTGGAGGAAAAGCTGAGTCACTGTTTAGCTTGGAAAGGAGTCACAGCTGTTTGTGCCAACAATTAGAGAGCTGGCACAAATGATGAAGACCTCAGTGTGAGTATCACTGGTAGCCACATCAGTCTGGCTTGCGCTGACCTTTGACCTCCTTCCTGTGGAACCGTATCTGCAGTTCTTATGAATGTGTCTGGATATGAACGGGACTTTTTTTCACTCTGTCCTCCTCTCTCACAGTGATTCTGCACACGTCATATTGGGCCGAGGACCCGCAGCAGGGAGACACATCTGGAGCACACAGGTGAGTTGTTACGCATCAATCTGTATTTCTGACATTCACGTCGTGTGACTTCTGCCCGCGCTGAATCGGCCGCTCGACGAGGTCACGGAGCGGCGTTTGGGTCCTGAGGCGCGTTCCCGCCGTGCGCGTCTCGCTTCACTGTACAGAACCCCGGCGGTGCTGAAAGACGCGTTCATTGTTTTTGAGATTACGGCATCGCTGGGCCGGTGCTCTCTTTGTTAAACATCACGTACGAGACGCTCTGCGATGTGGATGTTTGAGTGTTTGTGTGAGGGCCGCACATGTGGAAATATGCAAATAAATCCAAAAAAATACCAGAAAACCGGCAAAAAAAAAAAAAACCTTTCGGGACTGCTTTTTTTTTTTTACCCGTTTTCTTAATTTTTTTTTCTCTCACTTATGTACAAAAAACATAGCAGTGAGTTTATTCGTCTGTTCTGTTACTGCTGCATGTGTACAAAGGGACGATGTAATTACACAGACGCATTCTCTAAATACTACAGAACATTCCTACAAGCCCACCACACCGCTGTGTTTGTGTTTTCTCTGTCAGAAAGCTAAAAGTGGGCCTCTGTTCACACGCACACACACTGAAGCAGAGAGGGAGAGGAAATTAGGATTATAATCTTGGTAATCAGCCGTCATGCCTGAGGCAGACAGCTGCAGAACTACACAGCTCCAATTTAGGTGTTGGACACTAAAAACCATTAAACCCGAGTGAATTTCCACTTATTGGGTTTTTTTGGGGGAAACATTTCAACTTCAGAAAATAAACCAGGGCAGAAAATGTGCTTCAGATTTTTATTTAGAGAAAAAAAAAATACAAACACAGTTAAAAATATCCACTCTTCTTTATTTAAATAATTACAAATTTGTCAGGCTTTTAATCTCATAAATAACAATTTTCCAAAAACATTGTAAACAATTTGTGTTATAATTAATTTCCACCTTTAATCTGGACGCAAAATCATAAAATCCAGATAGAATTATGAATTTGTGCATACGCTGTTTTTGGTACCCCTCCCCTCGTTTAAATCAATTTATTCATTAAGCACAAGGTCCCCCTATAGGTCACACACCGACTGTAATCCGCTTTCACGCTGAATATGCGGCCCCACGTCGGGGGGGGGGAGCGGTGCCACTCCAGACTTGCTCGGATGAATGGGACACGGAGCTGCAGCTCCGGTTCAAGTGTGTGTGTGTGTGTGTGTGTGTGTGTGTGTGTGTGTGTGTGTGTGTGTGTGTGTGAGAGAGAGAGAGAGAGTGGGAGACGGGGGAGAGAGAGCCGGACTCCTTCTCTTACATGCAGCCACCGTGGCAGTAAATTACGCATGACAATAATTCACCCAGGACTGGATCCACTTTGGACCCGAGGAAACCGCCTCTGCCCTCCTCCTCTTCCTCCTCTTCCTCCCCCTCTTTGTTATTCAGTACGAAGATAAAAAAAAGACGGCATGTCATGATGGAAATGCTTCAGAACGGGAGAAAGTAAACTCACCCAAAACCTCCTCCGACACATGCAGGCACGTCGGAGAGGGACTTAAGTTGAAGGAGGAATTTGTTCACGATATTCAGAATTATTGTAATCGAAATTTCTAATTGTTTGATTATAAAAATAACAAAAGTGATATTCCACAAAAGCCACAGATCATATTAATAAATACACGACCCTGTCGCTTCTTTCTGCAGCCTCTGATTGTGTTATTATTATTTTTCGGGATGGGGGGATGGAGAGTAATTAACGGGGGTGCGGGGGTCATCAACCAGTCCATGCAGCCCTCTGATTGATGATTTAATTAGCCATACAGTGGCAAACTGCTGGACACAAAATAATTCTTTATTTACACAACCAATCGAAGAGCTGCAAAAGGTGGATCCCCCCCCCCCCCCATACATGGCTGAGACGGCTGACTTTAATAAATGTGAGATTCATCCTGTCACTGTGACATTCCTGTAATATTCCTGTAGCAACTCTGCCGTCTCTTTATTGTGCGTTATTCTCTTCTACTCGTGCTGTAAAAGTATCACCTCAGACCTCTACAATGTCACACTTATTTTACATTCACTTTGGCTCATTTTCGTTAGGGGGTGCAATTGGAAAAAAAAACAACCTAATGAGCTAATAAGCGGAAGCAGTAGTTCAAATAATGTTCGTCTCCCGATGTTGAGTTTACGTGCACTCGTTTTGCACAGATGCACCTGCGGCACGCGCGGCTGGTGCAGGTGCATCAGCCAGGTAATAAAACAACACGCATTACGCTGCAGGAGGACTTTTCCCTTCACGGTCTCATTCCAACAAAAATCACACACACACACTCACACACACACTCACACACGCATCTATCCAACGAGTCTGTGCTCCTCAATAATTACATAAAAACAAAGGGAACCTGTGACACGGAGAACATTACTGTCAATACAAGGAAACGCTCCTTTGTAATGGAAACAAGTGACCTTCCCACTTGGCACATTTTAAAACGACGCTGCTCTCAGCGGCGACGTGCACACGCGTGGAAAGCCGAACACCCACAAACCTTCCAATCGCAATGAGGAAGAATGTGGAGCCTCCGCGTCCGGCCGGATCAACCCGCCGCTCCTGCGAATTAAACCGAGTGGAAATAGAAATATTATTTTAAAGAAAAACATCCTTACGTGATTGCGGCCGGCGTGGACGCGCTGCAAGTTTCTCCCCCTGCTCCACCAACACAGACACGCGCGCACGCACCAAGAAAGCGGAAAAAACGCAACGCGCGCCCGCCCGCTCTTCGCTCCGCGTCGCAGCGCGACATAGTTGGTTTCACTCAAAAAGAGAAGAGATGGAGGAAGAGAGAGGAGAGCGAGGGAAAGAAAAGAGGGGGGAGAACTGAGGGAGGGAGGACAAGAAAAAAAAAAACCCAAAAAAAAAAAAAAACAACTTCACGTTCAACCCAGAAGATGCTCACGTTTGGCGCTCCTCAATTATCCCCTCCCGTGAAGATAGGTGGCGTGCGTTTCAGGGGGCTTCTCCTCTGTGTTACACGGCAAAGAAAAGGAGGTGGAAATAAAAAAAAATGTCATTAGAAGAGGCGTAACACGTCAGTCCCTACCCAGGTTTGTTTCCTGGAGTGGGTGTAAGACATCAGTTGTAAACCTGCCCTTGCAGGAATAGCGGTCCCTCCCTCCTCCCAACTATTTCTGAGGCTTTATTTCTAAGGCTTTATTATCACCGGTGGAAAAGGAGCCGCACACCGACGCGCTCCGGTATTCGTCCCTCCTCGCAACTCCTCTCCACGAGACCCGTCCGCGCGGCCCCCACGGCAGGTACGTGGCTCCTCACTTTGCAATTTATCGCGTGTTTTCGGAGAAATGTTGGACCCGATAACTTCCGCGCGCCCGCACCGCGGCTGGAGCTCAACTTTGCCTTACCTGCGCAGGTGGAAATAGGTGCGTTTGTTTTGAGCGTTTTCCCTTTTCTTTTCTTTTTTTTTTTTTTTCCCCCCACCTCCGTGATGTAGAGGCGTCCCGCGGGTTCCCGTCAGCCGGAGAAAGTGAGCTTTTTTCGGGGCGCTCGGCGCCGCTCGCCTCCGCTGTCCCTGGGAGCAAAAAGGGCGATTACATCCCGTTTTCCCTCTTTTAGGCTCCTCAGCCGGCATTTTATTAGAGTGTTTCTAAATCATCCACGTAAACGCGCACGTAGCACCGAGCGACCGGGGCTCGGCCAGCGGTCCCTCCGAATAACGGTATTTGCGCTGATAAACTGGCTGCTGTTTATGCGCCATTTGTGCCCTTCAAGGTCCCCCTTTTAGTCCGCGCTCATTTAAACAATTATTCCCCTCCTGTTGTTTGTCAAATAGTGTGAAGAGTGGTCGGAAGGAGTTTGTTGAAGGCAGGAAAGTGTTTATTGAAGTTGTGCGACTTCGGGTCGGACCACACAGTTCTTGCCCCGCTCGTCCATGACGCGTGAGCTGTGGGTCAGACCCTAAATGTGACACAAATTGGATTTATTAACCCGACCCGGCAGCGCGAAACCTCAACGAATCCTGCCAGTTTTAATAGAAATAAGCCGAATATATATTTCCTTCAGAGTGAAGAAAAATACAAACCGGCGGGTGAAACTTTTGTGAGAGAAATCCCAACGTGTGATTTTGTGTCAGTCCCTAAATGAATCGTGTTTTTTTCTTCCAATAAGAGAATTACATGAGCTGTTAAAGCCACTGAGCTGAGAGCCGAGCAGTTGGATCCTAAACCCGGGGGGACGCGCACGTCCTCCGCGTCTCCGTCCCTTTTTACCCTCCGTGCCCCCCCCCGCCTAACCCGGGTGTGCTGGTCCTTGTCGCGCGTCCGGCGCCAGTGGACCCCGCGCTAATCCCCACGTCGTGGGTGTTGCTCTGTGTGTGTGTGTGTTTCCCGTCAGATATCAGGCGGAAATCAAGGAATCGAGTCCATGCGAGCTGCCATCTGATCCCACTCACACACTTATCAATGAAGCAAGAGATCATGGCGGATGGCCCCAGGTGTAAGAGGCGAAAACAAGCCAACCCGAGACGGAAAAACGGTAAGAAAATCACGGGGGAAGACAACCCAAGCAGCCGGGGGGGTGGAGGGTGTGGGGGGGGGGGGGGGGATCTTTGGATGTACGCCTGGCGTGGAGGTTTCCACTGCGGTTCGGAGGCGGGTGATGGACCGCGGCTGGTGCGCATTCAGCCTCCCCCCTTTACGCAGGCTAAACGCCCCGCTGTCCCGGGGACGAGCTGTGCGTAAACGCGTCCGCTCCCGTTACAAATAGCAATATAAATGTTCTTCAAAGCGCGCGCGCGCGCGCGTGTGTGTGTGCGTGCGTGTGTGTGTTCGGGGGGCAGAATTTAGCGAGTGCGGCGACGAGGCCGCTTTGGAAACTTGAGGGTGTTTGAAAGTTGGAGCGCAGCGGTGCCGGCCGGTCCCTCGCGGGGACCCGGTCCGCCGCGGGGGCGCCGCGTGCCGGGCACTCTCCCTCGCCGCGGCCCGCTGCGGAAGTCCGACCTTTTGTGACTGCGGCGTCGACCCGCTTCAATCCGCGTTCGGCGCCGTGTTTCTCCCTGTCCGGGGCCCTTTCCGCCCGCCCGCATTCTCACGTGATTTACCTTCACTGTCGCTGAAATAATTCATTGGGGTTGTTGCTTTAGTTTTTAATGTGTTTTCTTTTGTCGCTGGTTTATTGTCGCGGAGGCGTCGTATATAAACGGGATTACACGTCCGATAAATGCTGCACATTAATTGGGTCCGGACTGCAGCTGGAGATTTGTAGATTTTCTTTCTCCATTTGACTGCACAGTTTCCCACAAGAGGCAAATGTGCAGTGACATTCCCTGGCCCCGTTATTCCTGATTATTCCATCCCGGCTCCAAACACGAGCTGAGCCAGTGTGTGTGTGTGTGTGTGTGTGTGTGTGTGTGTGTGTGTGTGTGTGTGTGTGTGTGTGTGTGTGTGTGTGTGAGAGAAATAGCGAGGCTTTCATTTGCTTTTCTCCACAACAGTTTTTTAATCTCTGCCCCCACAGGTTATTTATCTAGATCAGATTTCATTTATTGATTTCATACAATCGATGGCAGACAAGCATTTTGTTCCACACTAAGTAGCACGAGAGCAGTCGGGCCGGAGATATAAATATGTTTTTACAATTGGAGCGTCCTTACTTTATTGAAAAATGGAATAAAAACACCCATTTAGAGATTACAAAAGCCTGTTTAGCTGTGGCCACCTGTTTTGGTGGGGGGGGAGAGGGGGGATGGAGGGGGGGGTGTTAGGGAGAAAACGTGGCTTTAGTACAAAATGGAGCATTTGATAAAATAATATTGGTAAAGCAAATATAATTTTCACTCCCTGAAAGCTGGCGAGAGACATCGAGCTGTGGCAGAGAAACGTTTTAATTTTCTCTCAAGCAGGAGAACATCAATTTAAAGAAATATATTTAATATCTTTCTGGATTGAAAATGTAAAATGTTAGTCCCCCCCTTTTTTTTCTCCTTTTTTTTTCTTCTCCCATAACAACCAGCTCTGTCTGTTAACCCCCCCTCCTCACCCCCGATCCTCCCCCTGGGAATGCAGCGGCTTATTGAGGCTTGGCCACTCTCCTGTCTCTGTGTCTCCGTCCTCCTCCTCCTCCTCCTCCTCCTCCTCCTGCTCCTCCTCGCCGCCCGGCTCTGCGGAGCGGTGGCGGAGCGTGTGACGGCCGGCGGGACGGACGGAGCCCCCCCCCACACCTCCCCCCCCCCGACTGGGAAAAGCACTTTTCTGTCCACGTTGTCAGCAGATGGAGGGCGGACGCGCCGCGGCTCCTTCTCCCGTCCCCTCAGCTCGCAAACCACGTGAAAAAACACGAAACGTGAAATCGGCACAATTAGAGATGGATTTCTCCGAAATGCCTTCGGAGTAAGTCAGCAAACGTGTTTGGGTGGTAATAGTAATTTCCTAATTTCACCTGTAATTATGTTTTTTTGTTTTAAAAAAAACAACTAAACGTTTGACGCAGTTCTTCTGTTTTAATGGAGTAATTACGGCTCTGTGATATTATATTTTAATCTGATATTTTTCATTCACTGCATCGTCGCTGACAGAATAACGGGAATTGTTCGAATTATTTTTCTCCTTTTTTTTTCATTTCTTTTTTTTTCAAAATGGAAGGAGCGTTTTCAGCATTTGTGCCAATTAGTATTAACGAGGCCTTTGCTCGCTAAGTTGTCGAAGCGATGACATTCTCGCCCAGATGACTGCTGGCCTTCAGGGCTGCCCGGCGCTGTCCTGTGGTATTTAAACCACAGGACCAGGACTCGCCCCCCTCCCACTACTTGTCGTCCGACCTTCCACAAGT